ATACGAGTCCAGGATGTCACATTGACTAAACAAAATAGTACTCTAAAAAAACCGATAAAACATTTGAACTTATATTATTAAAATACAATAATATACATATGTTAATACAAATTTATCAAAATAATTAGAGCATACACCACTTGACACTTTGATTACATGCCAACATTCATTTACATAACAAAAGGACCTACTGCTCAAGTTGCCTCTGATCTGATAGTTGCAGGAGTAATGTTGTCCAACTGCTTAACCTTGATCGTCTACTTTCTCGGATCCTACGTGTGAAACACTCACACGCTAGGTCATCGACATAGTGAGGCAATATAATAATAATGATAACAAAGAAATGTAATGGAAATGCCATAATTAAATAGAATGAGACGAAATCAAATGCTTAACCATACAGTTTATATCACCATGTTCTTTACCTGTAAGCATAATATATTAACATTCATGAATTCATATTAGTAAGATTATTGGCCCATGATACCATACTAAGAACCTAAGGTATGTGACTACTGTGAGGTTGTGCACTATGCTGTCACCACAGCTCATATAAATGCACCGAAGTGCCACGTAGAATTGTACCGAATTGCCACGTAGAATTGCACCGTAGTGCCATATAAGATTGTCCCTAAGGACCAAGTAAAAAATTTCCTTAAGAATCATATACATATGCCAAGGATCAAATATGTGTCTTAAAAGACCTCACACATGTTCCAAAGAATATATATATGTCCCGAAAGACCGCATAGACCCTCTACTCTTGGCATGCCAACTATACCTATAGTTCTCAATTACATAACATGGACTTCCACCATTCCCATAATTTATATTGTATAGACATATAATTTCCATACCTTTATCACATAAACATATCATGTTCCATCACTTTATCATATAACTTATATAACATTTCCTGCATATTCATGTCACTTAATGCATATAATATGAATTCATGTCATGTATCATAATATGAAATGCGATCATGTATCAAAATATTGAATCTAGACTTATCACAAGTCTAGAACTGAATAGAATACATATTCATGCTATGCATATGCACTCACCATATTTCCTTGCTTTTTTCCTCGATCGATCTTACGAGGTAATTGCTCTGGAACTTGTTTAGGCTCGGTATCTACAGAGTAATTCATTGATACTAATCAATATACTAATTAATGTATTATAAACTATCATTTCTTGGGCTAAAAGAAAAGCCATTTTCATCTTTTAATGAAGGTATGCATCGATTCACCGCACCATGCATCGATGCATAAATCCTATTCGATGTTTATATTTAAGGGGTGCATCGATGCACTCCTTATGCATAGATGCATTGATGGCATTCGATGTTTTTATTTTAAAAGAGTACATCGATGCACTTCATGTGCATCGATACACCTTGAACAATTTCTGGGATTTATCCTTGATGCATCGGTGCACATTGAATTTGCACGATGCACATAGCCCAGAAATGTCATTTTAAGCACGAAAATCTCTTTATAATCTTCTATACACTTTATATTTCACCTCATTTTATATCTCTAACTTGCATACACTTACTTAAACTAATTATTATCCATTCGATACCTTTAAAACTTAGAAATCCAATTCTCCATATAAAATTTAAGAATTTTATTCAATTTCCAACATGTTCTAAATCGAATTCTAACACTTCATATCATTTAATTAGCTTGATGACAAGTCAAATCCCACTTCTAAGTCTTATTATGAACTCTATTCCAAGATTTTACTTTTCTACTTCCTTTCTTTAATCCTTCCTAACCCCATCATCTTATGGTTTTAAGATAACCTAAGCTTTCCTTAAGCTTAGTTATCATCTAATGATCAATTAGCAACCTTAAATGCATCAAGAATTTGATTCACAAGAAACTCACCTCTAACATTGTCTTCACGGTGAAGAAGAAGAAAGAAGAAGAAGAGAAATCTAGAAACTTTTGGTCTTTCTCACTAGCTTCCACGTGGGAATAAATATCCTCAAATAAGATTTAATTATTTCCTTGTTAAAAGATTCATTTGCCCTTTTATTCCTCATTCCTTGCTGATTAATCCTACATAAAACATTTCCATCAATTCTTTAAACTTTTCAATCTATCCAATCTGGTCACTGAATTTTAAAATTCTACAATTTGATCAATAACCCGGTATGGAGGATGTTACACTGTTGATCTCCCTTTCATCGTTGTCAACGCTTCTGCTTGTTGCAGATTTACTTGTCTGTCTTCCTTGTTCTTGCGTCGATTTTCTTCTTGTAGAACAGCAGCTGCAACGTCATCGAAGACTAGACTGGTAACTGTTTGTTAAGTTGATGATGAGTTGATCATACGAATCCGATAGACTTTAAAGTAGAAGTTCTACACGTTCTTGTTCTACTATTTTACAGCTTAAGGAAGTAAGCTGAGAAAATAAAGTGTTTAGTGTGTTTAAGTGCTCCGTCACTGAAGTAGATTCTGATCATATCTCCTTAGGACTTCTTCTCGTACTGGTTGACAATATGCTTGACAATATGCTAATGCTAGATGAAAGTTTGCCATAACATTCCCGTCCATTTCGATCCATTTGTTATCGTCTGTGAAATCTACCGACCTTTCACCGATAGCTGCTAGACAACGTCTTTCCTCAGGATGGCCTTCATCTTCAATTTCCACAATGAGAAATTTCTCCCATTAAATTTTTCAATATCAAATTTCGTTACCATAGCTTCTATTACAGATAGCTCCCACTATTTCACTATCGTGAATAGTTCTCTGGAACCTTCAAAGAATGGGTAATAACTTCTTACTTTCTTATGTTGGAGGTTTCACCTTTTGGTGGCAACCACAAAGACAATAAGCAGATATTACACACTCAAATCTGGCTCTGATATCAATTATTGCGGAAGACAACTATCGAATAAAGCAAAATCACAACTGATAATTTGAGAAAATAAAAATGAAGATAAAAGAAGACACAAAATTTACTTGGAGAACCCTTAAATAATATAGGGTAAAAACCACGGGCAACAGTAGAAGAATTTCACTATGAGAAAATAGGAATTACAACTTCTCTCAATCTACCAAGGAGAAAACAATGATAATTATCTCTTAATAAAAATGAGAAAATAACTCTCAAGAAACTCTCTAAATTCTCTCTAGTATTGGAGGAAAGCTATAATGCTTTAGGATGATTTTGAAGCTAAATGGGTTAGAGTATTTATAGTTGAAGCTTAAAGACCAATCTTATAAATACCCTAAATTGTAATGACTAAATTTGCCTTTTACCCATTACAAAAATTCAACAAATCAAGCTGTATAATTTCGGTGCATTAATGCACCGAAAGCCACCACCACCTAATTTGACTTTTCACAAAAACTACTTGTAATAACCTAGTAACATACACGAATACAAAATTTAATTTAAAGGAAGTGAATTATAAAATTTTAAAGAAATAAAAATAAATTATCAATATAAAATATAAAAAAATTAAAATATATAACAATTTAATTTTTTTTGGAGGAGACGATCGCTCCTAACAGTCCTCATCCCTGCCACTAATTGTAATCTATCACCCATAAAATGAGAGTTATATAAACGCTCAGACTGTTAAGTCAATTGTATAGTGGCCTTTATATTCCCAATTTCCACCACATGAGCAATGCATTCTTCAAATCTTCACAATGCATAAGCATTCCAATTTTCCCCCTAAAACCCATGGGATCCTAGGCAAATAATATTTCATACCCTTCACGCGTTTTCCCTTTTACATAGAATGGTTTCAAGAACATCGTTCCAAAGGTCGACTTCAAATTTTGACACCAACATCAATATTGACAAAATACTTTTTATAATTCAGACCGATAGTTCTGAAGCTTTTCACCTTCTTTCCCCTCCAACTACGACCAATCCTTTTGCTCTTGTTAGAGCAATCGCTAGCCTTTTTAATAAAGTTTGGTTCGTAGATTACCGTCATATATATGGTGAAGCCAATGCCGCGGTTGATTTCATCGTCAAGATGGACGCCCCTCTTGATGGTTCCCTTGTTACTTTCGGCACATTACCACCTCAGCTAGTTGATAGGATTCATCGAAATATCTATGACCCTCATTTTCATTAAATATATATATCTTTCTTATATAAGATTTAAGAATTTGTCGCCTTACGGGCGGAGCCCATATACAACGAGGGGTGTCAATTAACATTTAAATTTTTTTAAATTTTTTTTTTATAAAAATATATATATATATATAATATTTGAAGAAAATGACACCACACTTAAAAAGGATTTTGAGGCTCAAAAGAAAATACATTTCACAATGATTAAATATGACCTTCAAATTAAATTTTCCAACTTTGTCCTTAACACACATCTACAGTCATCTTTGTTTCAACTAGGGGACACAGGTGTGATATCATCCTGTCTTAAGATATTATTTTGAAACGTTCCGTCAAAATTAACTGCATCATTATATCGATCTATCAATGTGACATTCGACAAAGCAACAAATATGAATAATTAAGAATAAACGTTAATTTTTATTAAGTGACTACTAGAATGTGGTGTTTAATAAGTTGAGTAGTTTGAAAATAATTAAATTTATTTGATTAAAATTTGATTTAAATTCAAATTTAAACTTGACTCGAGACTTTAATAAATTTAATTGAGTTGAGCAAGGTTTAACTCGACTCGATAAGTTCGCAAGCAACTCGTTAATTTTTTATATATTTTTTTAATAATTATCTTAAAAATTATTTCATTCAAAAAAATATTAATTTATTAATAAATAATAAAAAGATGATAATTATTAATTTTCTAATAAAAAACCAAATTATTAATTAATAATTATTATAAGATGTTATAACTGTTTTTTATTAACAGGATAACTATGTTAATCAACAAGAAAATTATTCTTCCAACTGTGTAGTTTGATGATCGCAAACAACAATGAACGAAGTGAAGATATGTTGATTTCTTCATTTTTTTGGATAAATTCCTCATATTATTATCCAAGAAGCAGTAGACAAAAACACTGCTACAACAATTACAGACCACCCAAAACAAACAGAATTAGCCTTCTAGGAGGAGGTAATCCCCCAAGCCTGGCAAAGTCTACAATTACCTATACTACTTTTAATCACAATTCTAGCTACCTTCACCCTCACTACCTCTTTAATACAATTCACCACATTATCTATATCCCTACTCACTCCTCTAAACTGTCTATAATTCCTCTCCATCCATATACAATAAACATAAACATACCATACAATTCTAAGTATAAACACAGGGAAAGTTTTACCTTTGAACCTATTAACAGCCCAATTAGCTCCTCATCCCAGGTCCCTACAGGTCTGTTAACATTGCAAAGTCGTGCAATCCTCTCCCACACAGCCTTCGAAAACGAACATTCAAAGAACAAATGGCTGCGAGTCTCAGGCGTATCTTCACACAATCTGCACTTGTCATCCACCTCAATCCTCATGCGAGCTAGCTTATCAGTAGTTGGCAGCCTATCAAGTATAGCCAATCAAGTAATAAGGGAGTGCTTCGGTATGTGCATAGGAAACCAGACTATCCTGTGCCATTCAACTTTCACTCTTCTCTCCCTAATCTCCTGCCAAATCCAATGAGCATTCACCTTGCTCCAGTCTGTTATCCTTGAGAACAAAGGTTGCAAATCTTCCCTTGTTTTCAGAATTTTCCTCACACTCCAGCTGAATGAATCTTTACTTTCAATGAACCAAAAATCAGCCCCTTTAAGGACATAAGACCTCACCCAAGCTACCCACAAAGAACCCTCAGCAAAGAGCAAATATTTACTTGAAGCATAGTACATGCTTTATTCCAGCATTTTAGATGTTTAAGGCCTAACCCCCCCTCATACTTAGGGGAACAAATCAAATACCAGCTCACACGAGCACCCTTAGTTGGGATATCACCTCCCTTCCAAAAGAACCTGGCACAAAGTTGGTAAACCCTCCTTACAACAGCAGGTAAAATAAGTTGTCTGCACCAAAAATTAGCTATGTTAAATAGAACAACCTTCACCAGTTGTAACCTACCAGTATAACTCACCATTTGTTGGACTAGTGTCCCAACTTAGCTTTGATTTTCTCCACTAAGCTAGCACAGTCTTTCTCAGTCAGTTTCCTGGGGACAAGAGGTACCCCCAGGTATCTCACTGGGAGACAGCTAATAGTAAATCCAGTAGTCTCTTGAATCAAAGTCCTCTGTCTTTCATTTATACCAGCAATGTATATTTCAGTCTTAGAGGCATTAAGCCTTAGCCCAGACATCACATAAAACCTATCCAAAACACATTTAACCCCAACAATTGAATCCAAGCTGCCTTTGAAAAAAATAAGCAAATCATTAGCAAAGCACAAGTGAGTTAGATTCACTCTTTTGCACTTAGGATGAAACTAATTTTTTTCTGAGGCAGCAACATCAAGCAATTTGGACAGGATGTTCATAGCAATGACAAATAAGTAAGGGGATAAAAGGTCCCCCTACCTTACTCCTCTTCTCCCTCTAAAATATCCCACAAGGCTACCATTCAAAACAATGGAGAATCTGGAGTCCATAACACAAGCCTCAATCCAGCCTCTAAACTGAGTTGGCAGCCCTAACCCCTTCAAGACAGCAAGCAGAAACTTCAAACTTAAAGAATCAAAGGCTTTTTGCAAATCAGCTTTAATAACACATCTAGGGGAAATATAACTTCTTCCATACCCTCTGACAAGCTCTTGAGCCAAGAGTGTATTGCTTTCGATATTTCTCCCCCTCACAAAGGCTGACTGGTTAGGAGTAATCATCTCAGGAAGGTATCCAACCAGTCTACTCACCAGTATCTTAGTGACAGTCTTATAAAATACAGAGCAGCAGGATATGGGTATAAAATCCATAGCTTTACAATAGTTAGGCTTCTTAGGAGCTAAAGCTATGGCAGTAGAGTTAAAAACAGACAACATTCTAGAGGTTTCAAAGAAATACCTCACAACAGCAATAAAATCAACTCTAACAATGTCCCAGGCATATTGAAAGAACCCAACAGTGTATCCATCTGGGCCAGGGGCTTTATCCTTGCCTTGGTTTCATACAACCATTTTAATTTCATCATTAGTGAAAGTTTTGACCAAGTCTTCATTAGCACCTGCAGGAAGAGTGTACCCCAATAAATCTATCACTAAATTGTTAGTACACCCCTGCACAATATCATCAACATAACCAATCTGCCTTGTAAAATAGTTCACAAGTTCATCAGCTATGGAATCAAAAGTTTCCAATTTATTACCACCCTCATCAACCAGGACCCTTATTGTGTTTCTCTTTCTTTTAACTGCCACATGAGAATGAAAAAACTTTGTGCATTGATCTCCACTAACCAGCCAGTCCACCTTAACCTTCTACTGGTAGAATAATCTTTCAGCATTTTCTAAATCACTAAGCTCTTGGCCTAGTTTCCTTTCATTCATCACATCACCTGGAATCCCTCCAAAAAGGTTCAGAATTTGTTGTTTCTCCAATTGAATCATTTTTTCAGCCACTTTCTCAGTTATGTTAGCAAAGCATCTTTTATTGAAAGCTTTCTGTAACATCCTCAATACTGGGTTAGTGACCAAATTGTAAAGTTTTAGAAATTGGTGATTAAAGTGATAATTGAATAGTTCAATGATTTATTGGAAATATGATGAAGGTTAATTAGTAATTATTGAATGAATTAAAGGGTAAAATGGTCAATGACAAGTAGATTTTTATTCTTTATAAGATAAGAAACCAAGTGGGAAAGGAGAGAATTATCCAGAGTTTTCTTTCTTCTTCTTCTTCTTCCTCCTCCCGTATCTCCAAGCTCAAAGGTGATTTTCTTTGTTTATGGATTAATTGTTGATTTTAAGGTTGGGTTTTGATATAAGATGATAACTAAGCTTAAGGAAAGCTTAAGTTATCTTAAAATCAAAGTATGATGGAGTTAGGAGGGATTAAAGATTTTAGGTTCTTAGGTAAAATCTTGAAATAGAGTTCATAACTAGAGTTGGAAGTTAAATTTGACTTGTCAAGGGTCTAATTAAGAAGTAGAAGTCATAGAATTGGAATCAAAACATATTGCAAAGTTGGTTTAATTCTTGAGTTACATATGAGGAGTAGAATTTTGAAGTTAAAGATGGTTTATATGGATATAAATTGGTTTAAGCATGTGTTTATGAGTTAAGAACATGAAAGGGGATGAAAGATGAAGCATTTAAATTGATTTGAGTAGATTTTCAGGCTTAAAAATGAATTCTGGGCTATGTGCATCGGTGCACATTGAATGTGCACCGATGCATCAAGGGTAAATTTCTAGAAATTGTTCAGAGTGTATCGATGCACAAGAAGTGCATCGATGCACCCATTACAAATGAAAACATCGAATGCAGTTAGTGCATCGATGCATAAGGAGTGCATCGATGCACCCCCTTAAAATGAAAACATCGAAGGTGAGTTGTGTATCGATGCATGTGTAGTGCATCGATGCACATGTTAAAGAATGCATCGATGCACTGTAGAATGCATCGATGCACTGTAGAATGCATCGATGCACTTCAAGGGGAAATTGAAATAGACATTTCTTTTGGTCTAAGAAATGATAGATTAGTATATCAATGGATATATGTATTAATGTATGATTATGTAAATATCGAACATGAACAAGTTTCGGAACGAGTATCAAGTTAAGATTCGATCGAAAGAGAGAAAATCATAAAAGGGGATCAAAATTTAGTGAGGCCAAGGTGAGTGCATAATAGTGACATGTATTGTTTAATGGAAATAGAACTTGCGATGAGTCTATTTCCTAGAATAATATGCATGAAGTCATGAATGAGATTATGTGGTTGTTATTATTATATGTGTTATATGTGATTATATATTTTACATTAATTGTATGTATGCATAACTAAAGATATTGATATGCTTTGTATATGCTATAGGATTTGTGTAAAACACTAAAATGTAATAATGGAAGAACATGAAATAAATTATATGATAGAGACATAAGGAATGAAATGAACGAGTGAGTATAAGATAATCGAGTATAAGTCATATTATATGGTATAGGTGATTACACGAGAAATGTTATAAGACTCTATGAGGATAGTATAAATTCGAGGGTATATGCATAAATAAGGATACATAAGTTATATAGGGAAGATTTATATAGTTAAAGGAAACTATGGTTTAGAATTAAAGTGAAGAGCTACAAAGCTTTATGAAAGAGTATATGTATGAAGTAATGGGAAATTAAACTAATTAAATATATTAAATTAGTATATATAGATGAATTATGTAAGTGAAAGGGGAAATGAGATAAAATAAGTAGAAATTATTTATAGGATAAATGAGACCATTTGAACATGTATTATAAACTTTATAAAGAGGACTTAGGGTAAATCATTATATGGTATAAATATAGGGCATTACTATGTAAATTACATTAAAGAGACATGTTTACACGATTACAAGATATGATACCGGATATTAGATATATGAAAGAGAAAGTATATGTTATATGAGAAAGGAAACAAGTTAAATGATATTGAATCAGTGAATATAAGAGATTAAAGCATAAATTATATGAACTATATAAGGATAGGATATGACATGTTTATGGAACACAGGAGAAGTGTTATATGCCATGTGATACATGAATACGAAATGATATGAGAATTTACATGAACTACGTTAATGTATATGTGAATGAAGATACGAGTTTATATGAATATGTGATATGTTTACATGAATATGAAAAAGGATATAAAAGATAATGCCCATGATATGTGTAATGAGAGCTAGGGGTATAGTTGGCATGCCAAGAGTCGAGGGTCTACGCGGTCTTTCGGGACATATATGTATTCCTTGGAATGTGTGATGTCTTTTGAGACACATAGTTGATCATGCTAATAAAGAATATGATATAAAAGAACCTTGTATGATATTATGTGCTTTGTTTGTAATCTTTATGGTGAAATGATATATGTGATATGATGGTGATGTGTATATAGCTTGGTTAAGAAGAATAGGCACAAGAACATATGACTAAAAGATAAAGAAGAAAATAAGACTATTAAAGAGATAATGAGAAATTTACTATATACGCTTTATATGTTTTGTGTTAGGAAATATATTACCATAATTATATGATGATATGGGTATTTCTTTGTGAAACAATATGTATGTATATGATATATATATATATATATATATATATTATGTTTGGATGCATTTTATGGTTTATCATGATTACATGAAATGTGTATAATAGGAATTAGTTATGATATGCTATAGTCAGTTTGTTTATGCCTCACTAAGTCATAGACTTAATGTGTGATTGTTTCACACGTAGGTACAGAATCGAGAAGAGAAGCGAAGAAGAGCAAGACATGTCAGCATCTCCCTTACAAAATTTCAAATCAGAAAATAGATAATTTAAATGTGTTTGGTTATTTTGATATAGTTGGCATGTACTATTGATTAAGTTGAATATGCTCTGATCGATTTTGGTTATTTTGGTCGCTTTATGTAAATAAACCGCTTTTATTTTAATGAAAGTTTTAAATTTTATTTGAATTTTCTCAAGAGTCAAAGTTTGAAAAGTCAATGTGACACCTCAGACTCGTATTAGGTCGGATACGGGTTGGGGGTGTTACACTTTCAGCACATGCTTAAGTCTCTTCAATTTACAAAACAGGACTTGCATAGGGTCCCCCTGCACATCCTTGCCCAAGATTGCCCAACCACCTCCTTAAATTCATGATGCAATGCCCAAAAGTAAAAAAAATTAAAGGGCTTTGGCCTAGAAGCAAGGTTCTCATGAGTGCACCAAACAACTGTCATGCAATGATCAGTAACTCCAGGGGCTTGAAACTCCACATGAGAGTTTGGAAATGCCTCACACCATTGATCATTAACCATAACTCTATCCAATTTTCTGGCTAGGAAGCCCTCTTCTTGTTTATTAGACCAAGTAAACACAGGCCCAAAAAAGGGGTGATCTACTAGACCCAAATCTGTCATACAATTCCTCAAGTCATCCATTTCTGATGTGAGGTGCCAATCCTCATACTTTGAGCTCTCCATAGCTTTAACAGTAACGTTCAAATCTCTCCCAACCAACCAAATATTACTACCAACCAAAGAACAAACATTAGAGAGTTGATTCCATAGCTCTTCCTTGAAACACCATTATTGCTGCCATACACAACAGATACAACAACACTCCTACCACCCAAGCAACCCTGAATAGAAATAGACTGATCTTCCATTTTCAGAACAAAAAATTATAAATTCTTCCTCCACAGGACCCAGATCCTACCATTATCTAAGCAACTGTAATTCCAGCAGTAACTCCACTCTTCCACAAACTGAGCCATAACATTCTGAGCCTTAATCTCTTTGACCCGAGTTTCAAGCAAACAAACAATCTCAGCCTGCATTTTCTCTATACGAGACATAACACCTTATGTTTTTAGGGATGGTTGAATCCCTAATATTCTAAAAAATCACAGTCATAAGATAGGGACAAGGTTTAAACCTCCCACTTCACCAAGCCTTTTTATCTTTTCCATATTATCTTTCTTCTTGGCTTTCATTTTCAGAAGAATATTGGCAACACCCTGAGAAGCTAGTCTCGGCTTTCTTCCCCCACCCTCAACTTATCCAATAAAGAACCTAGGACTTCAAACTTGTTTGAAGAACCAACAACATGCCCCTTATTCTTTTAACCTTTTTCCCCTACCTCTCCGATTAGAAGCAGGGTCCACAGGCAAGATATCAACTCCCTTAGGAGCCGCTTTCACCATACTGTCAGCAACCTTACCTGAATCCATACTAGTCTTCAAACTTTTCCCAATATCTTATTGTTCTTTAAGGGACAACTCCCCAACCTCCACGTTATTAGCTTTGTCTAGCCCCTATACATCCTCAGCAGCAAAAGGCATCTCACTAGCCTTCACATTATCAATTGGAGCTAACCCAGGAACATCTTTATCATTAGCGTGACTCTGCCCAACATATCCCTTTTCCATAATAGGCTGTAATCCAGAATTAACCAAACCCAAACCCAAATCGCCTTCCACACCTTGAATAAGTTCTCATCCCAGGTAGCTTATCTGATATTTCAGGAGCCTTGTCCTTAACTCTCCACTCCATCTTTCCTTCAATTCCACCAACAGTGCAAATCTTATCTGAGTGACCAAATATCTTACATTTAGAGCAGCACGCAGGAAACAAGGAATTACCACCTTCACAGTACAAACAGACTCTCTCACACCTAATATCAATCGAACGAGGCAATCTAGTCCCAACCTCAACTTCAATACATACCTTTGCAAATTCCAGCCGTTCCTTAGCAGTCGTGATCGAGTCCATGTACAACGGACACCCAGGGCACTAGCTATATAACTAAGCCCTAACTTTGAAAAGAGCTCAAGCGGAACGTTGAACAACTGAATCCACACCGGCATCATTTCCAGGTTAAAATCAAGACGCTTCAGATTGGGCTCCCACTTCCTAAGCACCAGCGGCTTGTGTTGAAAATGCCAGGGATCGTTCTCAAGACAGTCCCGACTAACCCTATTAGCAAAGGAGAAAACATAAAGGTTAGAGCTAGCAATACTAACCTTAACCACCGATTTACCCTACTTAATCTCCACCAGCTTCTGCAGGGAACCAAAATTGGGCGTCGACCCAATAAATTACCCCACCAGAGAGTTTTGCCACTCCGAAATCCCCTCCTCAAAGATAACAATCGGAGGAACCACCGTCGTAGCCCCCTCACAACACTCCGGAGGAAAGAATTCCAGCGATTAGTCCTCAACACCAGAGAACAAACTCCTCCAATCCATGCCACAAGACAGTCACAAGGAATCCATCCTAAGCGAATGGAGCCAAACAATCAGCAAGAACCAGGGGAAAACCCTAAAACTCAAAAACAATAGATCTGCTATCGAGAGAGAAAAACGGTTATTCCCTGGGAAAGCGGTTATAATTGTTCTTGGTGATTTCTTCATTTTTATGATTATGTATCGTTGAATTTATTTCGGAATGCTTAATATTGTAGTTTGATATATTTGTGGATTGTTACTTTGGTTTTAATATGTTAATTTGGTATATTTATGGATTTTATTTTTGAGTTAAAACTTTGAAATTGCTTCATGCACTCTTTTAATAATTTTTTTGTTAAATTTGTTAATTTATGTTTATTAAGCTTTATATAATATTAGTTTATTTTATCTAGTTAAAAAAATAAGATAAAAATTTCAGTGAGCTTAAAGAGAACAGCGAGTTGAGCAATAAATTTTTTTAACGAGCAACATTAATAAAATTTTAACGAACAACGAGTAACGAATTAAATTAAATAATATTTTTTAACAAACACAAATCTAATACTATCCAACTCCAGATCAACTCACTAGATAAACGATTGAATGTATTTATTCCAACGAGAAAATAGCGGGACCTACTCTAGCAATTTACTAAACAAAATTAATAACCACTGTAATTAATTTATTGATGCAGTAAAATGACAAAACCCTACTAATCACACAGACTCTATTCTATATTAACCTCATAAACCGTCCTCCCCTTTTCAAATTCCCAACTTCATTTCTTGTCTGAAACAATCAATGGTTCGCAAACTTCCCGACGAATACACTCCTCCCGCCTCTTCCAACGACGAAGAGTCCTCCGACGGAAGCAGCAACGCCACCAATGAAGAGGAAGAGGAGAAAACTTCATTGAAAAAGCAGAAGGCCGATTCCGGTGAAGTTGGCTTTGGCTACGAGTACGACTCAGATAAGTCTTTCCCATCCCCTAATGTCTCTGATTTCACTATTAAGCCTATTGTTCCCAAGCCCAACAAGTCCGCTCCGAAGCCGAAGCAATCTGCTAATGAATCAAGTTCAAAGAGAAAGAGGGCATTGTCATCTGCATCCGATGGTGGATCTGGTGCCGTGAAGTCGCCAGTGATAGTTAGGCGGTGGAGTGAGGCTGAGGAGATCGCGATCTTGAAAGGTTTGATCGAGTACAAATCAAAGGAAGGAGCCGACTCTTTTAAGGATTCTAGTAGCGGGTTTCTTGATTTCATCAAGAAAAAGTTCGAAGCCGACGTGTCAAAGACCCAGTTGTATGAGAAGATCAGGAGACTAAAGAACAAATACAAAGTAAACGCTGAAAAGGGGCAGAACGGGAATGAACCTGGTTTACCAATTTACCACGTTCGCAAATGTTTCCAGCTATCAAAGAAGATTTGGGGAAATGAAACTAATGAAAAGAACAACAAGACTCGAAAGAAAACGAAGAGTTTGAGCAGCGCAGATGATGACAAGCCCCAAACGCAAACAAAGGCTCCGTGCAGTGAAGATGGAAGCAAGACTGAAGTTAACGGAGGAGAGAATTCTGGGTTGCCTGTTTCTATAAAAGACAATGAACAAGCTTCTAAATCCTCAACCCAAATTAGCTCAGGTAATAAAGAAGATAATGTAGATTTTTGGAAGGATTTCCCGTTCTTGAAGGAGAGTTTAGAGACGGACTTCACTGAAAGATGGGGGGTTGCGGGTTATTCTATGTTGGAGGAAATGGGGAGGAAAACCGATGCTGCTGGTAGAGAGAAGTTGAAGCAAATGGAGAAGGCGGAGAAGCAGCTGAGGATTGATCGATTGGAACTGTTTCTGAAGAAGGTAAAGTTTGCTCAGGAAATTGCTGAATCCGTATTGAACTCTATCAAAGGTACTGGAGTTTAGGTACAGATTTCGGGTTACTTTTTTCCCCATTTTTGTTGGGGTTTATGCCTGTTGATCACAGTATGATATGAATTTTAATGAAATAGTGAATACATTTTGGTCTTGGGTTATAATTTTCCTAATCTTTGATTAGATTTTTTATTCAACCAAATAATAATATATTTAAGACAATTTAATGTTGATTCATTCGGAGATAAACATTTGTTATATCGGAACGATTATTGACAAACCAATAAACAGGATCGAAAAGGAAAAACAAAGATATCAGATTTACATGGAAAAATCACAGGTAGAGTAGAAGAATTTTCTAATATGAAGGAAGAAAATACAAGAATATTTTGGTGAAAGAAAAAAATTTGATTTCTAATCATGACCCTTAGTATCTATTTATAGAGATAGCACATGATTATAAATGAAAACTAAATAAAGTAGAAATATACTTTAATAAAGTTTTCTACTTTTAATTAAATTGAGTTTCCTATTTTTTTAATATTTATATATTAATTAATTTGTGCCATTTTGAATTCGAGTCAAACTCTAACAAATCTCCACATTGACACGAATTCTAAAAGTGCAAAGGTTTCGAGACAAAACACTCAAATTCAATGTGACATCCAAACTCAACAAAAAAACAATTCTTTACTTCAGCGAACAAGTTCTCTATCTCTTCCACAACACCCCTCAAAGGGGAAATCTTCAGTAATGGACACTGATCGAATCTAAGTTTTTTCTAGGCTTGGATATAGTCTTCACATCGACATGATTATCATAAGTGTCAACTTTGCTCACAAATATTTCACCACGAGCAATATCATGCACAACACGATCCTAATCATCAAAGATAGTTCTGTCTTCAAATGTATTATATTCATGAAATTGAACTACTTTCTGCTTCACATAACCGTTCTAACCACTGTTATTTTGTTCAACAACGTTATTTGACACGATGGATGAAACACCAATTGCATTATCTAAAATTGTTGAACCATGTAGAACATAAAACTTGGTAGTCTTTCTCTGCCCTTTCAACACAAGAGAGTCCTTGCAAATTTTCATAGCTCCACATTCACTGAAGAATTTGTACCCTTTTGAATCTAGAGTACCTAACAAAATTAGATTTCTACTCAAATCTGGAACATGTCTCACATTACCAACTGTTCGAACAATCCCGTCGAACATCTTAATATTAATTGTGCTAATACATGCAACTTTACAAGGAACATTATTTCCCAAAAATACATCACTTATAGAAACATCTTCATACGTCGTAAACCAATCACGATTAGGACTCATATGAAAACTACTACTAGAGTCAAGTATTCACTCATCACTTGTTATAAAGTTGTCATCAGTCGCAACTAAGAGTTATCCGTCATCGTACTCCTCTACTATACTGACCACACTAGATTTTCCAGAGTTCTGCTCTTCAGTTTCTCTTTTGATTTTATTTTGCAACTTGTAACACTTCGATTTAACATGACATTTCTTTTTACAATAGTGACAAGTTTTATCTTGGTTGGAAGATTTTGATTTACCCCTTCCAATATTATCAGAAGAAAGCTCGCCTTTTCTTCCAGTGTCTGAGCTAATCAATTTATGCATCACGAGACCATCTGTCTGGAGCTCGGAAACAGATACAAGATATTTCATCTTGTCAAACGAGTGTAAACCATTATAAACTTCTTCAAAAGTGTTTCGTGACTGTGTAAGATTGTATCTCTGAAAGACGAGTATGAAGGAGGCAACAAACATAGGAAGATCAATCCTAAGTCTTCTTGATCACACTTCACTTCTAAAGTCTCTAGATTAGAGACGGTTTCATTGAATGTGGCCAGGTGCTTTTCAAGAGACTTCTGCCAACTTGAGGGAATAAAGACGTTGTTTTAGGTACAACTTGTTGGTCAATGATTTCTGCATGCAAAGTTCCTCCAATTTTGTCCACAAAGATGCATTTGGTTTTTTACTTTCAACACATCTTGTAAAATTTGATTTGATTAGTGTAAACGGATCTGATAAAGAGCTTTACGATCCTTACGCTTTTCCTCATTCGTCCATTGTGTTACCGGCTTATCATCAAATCTTTCCTCTAACAACATTGATGATATATTTTGTTTTCCAAAGAAATTTATTTAAAAAGTCAAATATTTTTTATGGAAATTACTTATTTGACAAATCAACTTTATTTTATGATTTTTTTACTAAATAAACTTTATTTTATGGATTTTTTTATAAGGAGTCTTTGACCATCAATTTTTAAGGAATAAAATCCCACTATTTAAATTTTTAAAACCATATATTTTAATTGTCTTTATGTTATCGAATATGTAAAATTAACTAAATTTATTTTTTAGAATATTTTAGATATTGTTGGAATTTTTATATTTTTAATTATGAATATTATTAATAATGTTTATTATTTAAATATTTATTTTCTATTTTTTTTGAATTTTTAATGATTTTAAATGGAAAAACAAATGAGTTAGGATCCACTTACCTAATGTAAAATTCTTTAGTTTTATATAGATTTATGATCGTGCGACAAGTGAAAATAGATAGCTGAGTTGAACTCATTTCCCCCTAATGAATATCTCTTTATTTACTACTATTAATCTCGATAATCTATTTTCTCATCCAACCGTCCTTAATCTTTGAAAAATTAAATTATTTTTTCATTATGTAAGGAATTTTTATCCCAAACAAACTTCACCAATTAAATGTTTTCATGTCAATAAATTTAATGACAAGTAGTGTGATCAATGACAAACAATAAGAGAGGCTTAATTGATCACGAGTTTTTTAAATAGGGGTCCATCATGATATATGATTAAAGGTGAGGTGATAGGGTTAAAAATATTTTTGATGAATTCATATCCTCATACGAACACTTTTTCTCAAAATAAAATTTTAAGATAAACTTAATTAATAAAAAGTTTTCTAGACTAACAAAATAAACGATTTCTCTTTTTCAACATATTGATAAAATACTTGTAAAATAAGAAAGTTTTAATCAAGTTTTTAGTCATTTTCTACTCAATAATTCAATATTTGACAAATACTAATACTCTATCAAAAGTATAGATATTATATAAACAATATCGATATTATTCTTACGATATTGATGCTATTTGAATTTTCACTCTTTAAGATTATAACATAATATTGATAAAATAATATGAGTACTAGATACTCTCATAGTAGTATTAATATTACTCGTATGAGTGTCGATGCTACTTAAGCGTTAAAACAACTTCAAGGATTTTAGCATATCAGACAATATCGATACTTCAATATAATATCAATACTATTATGATGAGTATTAATACTCATTTAAGAGTATCGAGACTCACTGAGTTTTGTAATGACTATTAGAACATAGTACCAATATTAAAAATGAGTATCAGTACTCTTATAGTAATATTAATACTATTTATATGAGCATCGATACTACTTCAGAGCTAAAACAACTTAAAAGATTCTAGTATAACAAAATAATATCAATACTTCAACATAGAATCAATACTTTTGTGATGACTGACGATACTCCCTTAAGAGTATCAATACTCACAAGAAAATCTTTAGTGTGGATAATTAAGGTAGTGAATTTAAATTTGATTGAGGAAGATGAACCATTCTAAGTCACTTGTGTCAAATTGTTCTTTATTTTTCTGACAGAAACTTTCACCAAAATTTATATTACCAATTCACCCCTTTTGGACTATATTAGAATGTTTAAAAACCTCTTGGATAAATACTAGGAGAGTTCAATTAACATCAAAGTCATTTATGACCTCTACTTCAACTACCAATATTTTTGGTAATTTCGAACCTATCAACGAAATTTCATACTTTAATTAAGAGTGTCAGAGTTGTGTTTGGTATTAAAGCTTTGAATAACGAATAACGAGTTAATAATTATGTGTGATTAAAATAAATAAATAAATAAATATTTACTTTAGACAAAAAGTCATATGAAATTTGATTTCTTGATGATAATTTATTTGACGCTATAAATATAAAATATGTCTTATTCTTTAAAATTATGAGATAATTATTTTGAATAATTATAATATTTTTTTAGATTTATATAATTTTTGGGGTTTCAGTTGTAAGGATGATCTTGTAAACAATTTAAGATAGTATTTTGAGATACACCAGATTTTGAGATATATATACCATGTCATGAGATACATGAAACATCATGTATCTATATTTTTATGATCTCTACTATATAGTGGATTATTTATTTCGTTCGGTTGTAAAAATAAATAATATTAAATCACGTTAAATCTTATCTTTTAATACATTTCTTATTTCTACGTAAACAAATGTGTCAAACCTCCAATTACTGAACTAATTTTTTTTAACTTAAAACCAATATATAGCAATTGAATCAGCTGTCCCGCAAGATTGATATTCATTCATTTTGTTTTAGTTGCAGGGCGAAAGTGATTGTCAATCAATGATGAGTAAGGTTCCTCTAAAGATGTCATCTCCTAATGTTCCTCAGTAGCTGCTGTGGCGGAAACGTAATATGCAACAGAAAACAGCCCATGAACAAAACACAAAACCCCTCCGACCGACAAGAAATGGTGGTGCGTGAAACCACAGGAAGCCCTGGATTTGTTGTTTGATATCATCCCTATCACCAGTGTCGACAATCCAACGGCTAACATGATCCTGATCAATCCACAAATTAAGTATGAAATGAGATACACTGAAGGGTTAAATTTTCAATGCTTGATTGTGCAGGAACATAATTACCATGTGAAAATGAGGCATGCCAATGAGAGTTGCCTGTTAGGGGAGGCTTTTTGGAACTCTTCTTGAGAACAGGTACACATGCAGCCGCCCAGCAGGTTAGTGAGAACGTGGGCTAGACTCAATAGTATAGCTGCACCCAAAGCTAGCTTGAAAGCTTCATGGCTCGGGTCTCTGCACTCAAATATCCACAATCTCAAATGCTTAACCTGTTGATCAATATCGAGAAAGATGAAACCTGGTGAATTAGTTGATAGAATTAACAAAATTTATTAAACTAAACAATACAAAGCACCTTGTTCTGTGCAACTTCGGCTTGGATGCCAAGAATCCCCGCTGCAACATCCATGGCAACAATCAGCAGACAAACGAGAAGACCTTTGAGTTTAAGCATGTTTTTTTGTTTGTCCCAGAAACTAAGGGAAACAAATGGAAATGAGAAGCAAGTTAATTATGTAAAATGGGATTAAGCTTGGCTGTTAATATATAACAAGAAACTTCTTTTTGGTTAATACTTTAATGTTTTCTTCTCTTCTGATATGTTGGATTCCTTTCATGGGGAAGAAGAAAAGTAGGGTTTAAATCATAAAATGCCATTGGAATTTTCTTTTGACTTTGATTAGCAAAATCTCCCATTTCTTGTTCATACAGTCAGTGAAGCACGTTGAGGAGGGCAAGCTTGAGAAGGTTGGAATAAATGAAGGTGAGCCAGGCTAACTATGCCTTAACTCCTACTGCTGCTATTTGCATGTGACAAACAAACAAACAAATGGAGTGGTTCTTGAAAGTACTTTATATAAAAGAATCATATTGGTTGGGTTTCACTCTTTTTAAGTATATCTTGGAAGTTTGAGCATGTGATATAACCTTTTAAGTATATTACTTGCATATATATATTTTATATATATATATATAGTAAATAAATAGTTCGAGCACCATGAATGGTAGGAATGTGAGCGTTTGATGTCAAATGTGTGAGAATTATCTTTAAACATATATTATCTTATATTTACTATAAATTAATAAGAAAAAAGAAAAAGAAAATTTAAGTGTTGATTTCGCTACTTCTATGATGTCTCGAACCAAAATGGAATAAAATCTTGAATTTGTGAAATAAAATCTCACAAATATGTAAGATTAATTTTGAGCAGCTTAATTGATTAGGTTAAACCTTTAATAGAAAAACTGAAGTTACCGTAATATGTGGCTTAGTTGGAAAAATCATTATATGTGACACCACTATTCTGGATCGATGGCTCGATTGAAATAAAAACAATTATTTGTGGCATCACTATTCTAAACCGATGGCTCGTTTGAGAAAAAACCACTATCAATGACATTAATTAGAGGTAAATAAAACTCAATTGGATATAAAAAATTGATATTTTTAATTCGATTTCAATTAACTCAACTTGTAATTTTATAAATTCGGCTCGAAAAAATTTCAAATTTAAGTTAAGTTGTAAAATAGAACTTGAATATTTGAATAACTCAAAATTTTTAGTAATTAGATTACTGGTTTTCAAGTTTGAGTCAAGTTCTTCAATTATATATGATATATGTATATCACAAAATCGTTTAAATTAGAATCAAATATTACATTAATATTATAAATATTTTTAATTAAATTTAAACATAAACTCATTACTCAAATAACTCAATTAGATCGAATGCTCACCCATAACACCATATTATAAAATGGTATCTTGGTTGAAACTATATTCTATCAAAATTTATATGACCAATTAAACCCAATTACTAATGATATGTCTCAATTATCGGGGGGTTTTACTCAAATATACAAATTTATTATCAAAATGACAATTTTTTTTTATTAATTCTCAAATTTACATCTTTTTGAAAAATATTTTTTAATAAAAAGAGTATTTTTGTTGTTGTTGGAGACGATGTAAACATATTGCAATTGTATAGCTTTGATGAAAGATTGTTACACAAATAATGTTATAATCAAAGTTTTGATGATCCCGAGTAATCCTCCTCCACGACTTGTACGAGGTTTGTTGTATATTATATATTGCTATTTTTCATATATTCATTTTCTTTGATACACATACCATCCAGTTGCATCTCTCATTAAGATGACCACAATAGAAAACATGTTTATTTCCATTAGCTCATTTGACTTTAGAATGACTGAAATTACATCTGTTGTAATTTATTTTACTACAATCAATGTATGTTCTTTGGTTGGGAACTCCATTCTAATATATAACTCCCCCTCAGTGAAAGAGGAGATAATACCATTGTAGCATAAATTAGATGTATCAGGAAATTCTGGTGCGTGCATTATTTTAATGTCCAAAGTGTACATGTGATAAAGGTTCATATTGCGCTTGGTTCATACTTCTCTTGCCTTCTCCTATTCTTTTTGACAACTGCCGTTTTGATGTCAAAATAAATTCCTTCTTCTAATTTGATAAATAAAGAAAATACATAGTAAAAAGAAGTAAGGGTCGATCCTCAGGGACTTAGAAAATTCTAAATTTCTGTTTGAATAGTTTAAACTAGACGTTAAGTAGTAAAAAAGAGGGTTTTGGTAAAAAAAGATTAAATAATAAAAAGCAATTTAAAGAAAAATAAAGAGAATAGAAATTGAAGGTTGAAAATGAATATGCTAAAAACAGCCTCAAGCCTCGCTTTGACTCAATTTCCTTCGGATCATTGAATTAGATTTTCCTTTCGGGATTCACGTCGGTTACTTTGTCTACAAGGGCAATCCTCGTGACTCTTCTTTGTATACCGAATACCCAAGGCAATCTTTGACTCCAGCTTAAAAAATTGATCTGATCAACATCAATTGTTGTAGATCAATAACTGTTTAAGTTCATGGAGACCGACTCGTATTGTTGTTTCAATAACTACTAATTCCGATCTCAATTCCCTCTTGGCAAGGCAATCTCGCCAAGTGTGTTCCCATGAAGTCGAATGTGTTTTCAATAAGCCGATCATTCCTCCCACACATTTAATCACAACAACATCTTGACCAAAGTCAATCTTTGATTTTGAAAACTGTTTTGATTTTGAAAATAAGCGTAGGGATTGAGAGAGATATTCCGAAGTTATTAAGGTGTTTTTCAATTCTCACGTTGGAATTGAGTCATTGCTTAGCTCTCATCTTATGAGAAAATTAGCTAAGCATGACAAAAGTCATACTTAGCATGTTTAAAAATAAAACTTAAAATAAAAATGAAAACGAAAAGAAAAACAAAAACTTGAAAAGAAAAGAAATAACTTTATATAACTAGAAAGAAGAGAAAGATTAAATTCTGAGTTATTTTTAGGCTTACCCCAAGAGGGTATTTATAGCCTCTAAAATCGTAGTGATAACATAGAATTTAAAATAAAAATAATCCTAAAGATAATTCCAAATGTTTTCTAAATTCAAACTTTAAAATTTAAAAATAAACCTCCTAATATTTTCTGCCCGTCCACCTTCCAGAAGGCACTGACTAGATCTTCTAGAAAACTGCTGCTGACTGACCTTCTAGAAATTGTCACGTCAGACCGTGCAATGCCCTGAGTCGTGCCCATGTCTCCAGCCATGACCAAATAATAAAAAATACATAATGCACCCGTTTTACTACTAATTCTGGAAAGTAAGACCTGCATGAAAATAAGCATAACAAACCAAATCAGCAACAATAAATTCATAAGATCAAAGAATTAACAAGCAAATATTATCGATTCAAAACACTCATCAAATTCTCTCACTTATCTCATGGTTGTCCTCAAGTATGATATAATCAAATCAGCCAAAAATTCCATTTACCTTTTTTTGTCAAGTTTCACATTCAAGGAACCAAGATAGAGACCACAATAATTATTCAAGTCGAGACACCAATCAATTGAACATCACCAACTGGAACAAGAAAAATGCAATTGTAACATCCATTCATTTATCAATCTCAATGCTCATAACTCAACACCTTACCGGATTCACTCAAATCACTCAATGTATTTGAGGTATAGAAACGCTCAATGTCAGAACCAACACGATATTACCATAGGCCTACAAGTAAATCAAATATCCACTACTAATAAGAAAAAGATGCATAAATCAAATGGTCTTTTATTGGTTGTAACATGGCTTAGGTAAAGTGGGGAAAAGGCTAATAGTTTGGCTAAAAATTAAAGACAAGGAACTACAAATAAGTACAACTCCATCAATCGACTAAGTACAACAAGATAAAAGACACAATACAATCAAACATCACATTTCCTTTTGAATTGAATTTGATTTTTCCACACTAGTTTGTTGCTTTTATTTTTTCTATTATTTCTCATGTCTTTTTTTTTTCGAACTGTATTTTTTATTTATTTATTATTTTTTTAAAATAAAAGAACTTATTTTATTTATTTTTTCTCTCTTTTGCACATCACACCAAAAAATTCTTCTATTCATGGAGCGTACACCGGATAAATTGTTCACTTGTCTGAAAAGGGTAGAAAAGAGGGATAAAATAAAAAGGCTTGGGTTTATAAATGTGGTGAAAACAAAGAAATGGGAATAGGCTCAAGAGTGGTTAACTAGGGGAAAATGCATGGGTAGACAATTTTAGTGGGAAACGGAGTGGTTAATCATAAAGTGCCCAAATCATTTTTAAGCATGATGTTCATGTGTAATCTTGACAGTCTTTAAAATGTAGGTTCTAGAATACCAATGTCAAATTTGACACACTCAATCCAACAAAATGAGAGCAAAATGATATCCTTGTAAAGACTCAAATCTCACCAAATTGTTTTTTTGCATAGAGCTAAGTGCATTTCAATCAAAAAATCATGAAATATCACAAGAATACCAACTTGATCATAATTCATGCTATCCACTATCAAGAATATCCTAATATAAACAATTATGTGTCCCCAAACAAGCATAAAATACCAAAAATATTCAACAAGACAAGAATTCAATGAAATTTTTCGCAAATCCAATCAACACATACTAGCATCAAAACATAGAGATAAACAAAGGGAAATTCAACCTAGACTCTACTCCCCATCATTTAAAGAGTTTTATCTAAAAACGTAAAATTAATGTATAAGAGAAGGAATAGAGTACTCCCCAGATTTACTGTAGGCCATTACTACAGCCACGACCGCGGTGGGAGGAGCTGGGACGGTGAAGTGAGCTGCCCGAGTTGATGCCGTGAAAATAAATCATCAGGTGTGTGGTAGGTGAAAGCCATCATCTAAATCCCCTGTAAAACTATAAATGGGATAGTACATTAGTAATAGTTGAACGAAAATAGGTTTGGAGTTTACTTTAGGAGTATTATCTGATGTTGTTGAATGATTGGACATGAGGGGAATACCAACTGTCGAAAGAAGTGGCCACAGTTGGCATGGATTGGAATGATGGAGATGCCGAGCGCGAAGATAGATGACGAACAGTGCTCGGTCCGGTTGAAGAGAG